TACTCTAATCTGACCCTTGTTTCAGTAACAAGTATTCTAACATGTTACTATTTACAATCCAATAATCAGATTAAAGTTATGCATAGTATAATGACCGTCATTCCAGGATGAACACTCACTTTAGCATTTGCCTCACAACTAGCAAGCTAAATACTCTGGTAGCACAGACAGGCTACCAGATTCTGATATATTTTATTGGTCAAAATGCATTGATATAAATTGACTGGTAATTGAACTGGTTCTACCTCTTTCTAAAACCAAAGTAGAAAACAGCTCATAAAATAGGACTCGGCAGTTTTAAACTCAATACAGCAATTTGACCAACAAAAATAAAATCTAAACAAGTTTTGTTCTTCTTTAACAACTCTCTACATCAGTGCAACAGTTTGATCTACAAAATAAATAAAAATTATACTTTTCACGTCTAACAGACACCTTAGCTCCTCACTGTTAACTCAGTCTCACTTTCCAGCCCTGCATTCAGTAACTTACCAAAGATCCATGAAAAACACTGAGGCAAAAAAACTAAATAATATAATATAATATAATATAATATATAATTACACGTTAAGTGGTCGAGTATGATCAGGTGTTGCTCACTTTAAATAATAAAAAGGCTAATTTCGCTGCTGTTTCAGTCTCATTCTAAATCATTGTAACTAGACTAGCTAACTTTTAAACAAAGTTAGCAGTAAAATTTTGGACATGTGACTATCCCAGAATTAAAACGGCTTAACCAAAAAGATTTAGTTCTATATATGAAAGTAAACTGACAACAAGACGTTATAACCGAGCGATATTCATGGCAACATTCCTGACAGACAGTTTACCTCCTTCAAACGGAGTTTCTGACTCCGTCTGCTGCTGCCTTTACTCTGAGCCGTTCAGAGGGGGGAGGGGCAGGAAGCGCTCCGCTGAATGCGCTGTTGTGCGCCTTCAAAATAAAAGCACGCGAGTGGAAGATTTTAAAATTCTTCGCAACAGCGGTGAAATTATTGGGGGGGACGAATGTGACTCTCTCCAATATTGGGGGGGACATGTCCCCTCCGTCCCCCCCGCTTCCTACGCCTATGCTGGCAGCTAACCACATGTACTAAGCTCTGTTTTCAAAGTAACTCTCTTTGCAGTGCAGCTACTTTCCTCTTTTTTTAATAATTGTTGATCTGAAATCAACCTTCAATAAGCTCAAGTATTAAAATGAAAGTTTGAAACTGTCAGGATAATCTACTCAGCTCTCCATGGGTGCGCCCGAAGCTTGTGTTTATGTGACAAACTTGTTTCCAGAAATGGGCGGAGCTATTAAGTAGTTTAAGTACACTGTGAGGAACAAACAAATCCTCTTTCTTGTTGCCTGAGCACAGGAATATGAGCATGATGAAGATCAAGTGCTTCATGTTCCTGGCTGCCCTGAGTCTCACCTGGACTCTGTCAGAAGGAGGTGAGTAAAAATATTACTGAACCTTCAGTTTGATGTTTTCTAATATCAGCATCAATATGTTACATTTTATTTTATGGCACTTTTGAGTCCACAGAATGTAACCATACAATAGACAATAGTCTATAAAAACATCTCGAGAGACACATTTTTTTAAAATTAAGCTTTTAACATTTCTGTTGTTCTCCGTTATTTCAAGTGAAAGAAATAATAAAAAGTTGACGAATTAATTAATAATTCCTTCTCAGGAAACAATATAAATTAATGCTCCGGATTGCTAAAATAAAAAAAACACACACTGTTTTGTCTTGGCAATGTCATGGAGTGGAGGATAGAGGCGAGAACGAATGCTGACGACCCAGGTAGAGATGAAAAAGTTATGGCTTTAATGAAAAATCCACAAAAAACAAAAATCTAAACACACAGGCAGCTCAGGGAAGAACAAAAGGCAAAAAGTTCCACGACTGAACAGACTGGCACGGAGAACTATGACGGACAACATTAGATGACAACCCGACAAGAGACAAAAATAACAGGTGGACTTAAATATGCAGGGAGGGTAATCAGGGAATGAGACACACCTGGTAAGCAATCAACAGGGAAGACAGGACTAAACACAGAAAACCTAAAAAATAACTACACAGAAAATACAGAACACAACAGGCAAACCATGAAATAATGTGTTTTATTATGAAAAAGTACTATTAGAATAAATTAAACCATTTTAGACAGGACAAAACAAACAGAGGGTTTTTAACAAGCAGAGGCAGGCAAGGAGAAACTAAAACTTAAGAAAATTAAAAACAAAGCATGAAACTGACAAAATGACATCAGACAAATGAAAAACAGGTAGAACTAGTACAACAGGAACAAGGAAACCTTTGTTATAAAGCCTGGAGGAGCACATCTTACCGTAAAGGAATTACAGACATGCAGGAACACTGAGGACATCTGGAGCCAGGACATATTATTTACAAACCATTTCAAACTCAGAAAAGCAAAGTGCCAAAAATCTGACACTCAAAACTGTGACAAGTAGACAAATTGAAGCAACAACAACAGTCCTATTATAATTTAATCTAAATTAAATTCAGTTTAAAAGAATCAGTATCAGAAATGAGAATGTAGTTTTGAACAATCTCTAGTTCATTCCTGTTCAGTTATATTACAGTTTTTCTTTTTATTCATTTTTTTAAATAAATAAAAACAATGTGAATTTTTATTAATTAAAAAATGTGAATAAAAGTAACATTGCATGAGAGGAATATAGAAATAGAAACCCAACAAGAACATTAGGTTTCATTATGAGAGTTAAAGGGAGCAGTGATGATAGATGGACATACCTGACTGATTTAACTTGATTCAAAGGCCAATTCATAAAAATGAAAGAGAAACAACAATTTAATGTGGTATTTTTTTTTTTATCACTTAAAGCACTTTTAACTGCCTTGTTGCTGAAATGTTCTGTGCTAACTGGACAATAAAACAACAGCCAGTCATGACATTATTTGGTCATATAGAGATTTTATTTTCTAAAGAGATAAATTATTCATGGGTTTGATGCTTATTTTTTCCACATTGCAGGTACTGGGCTGAGCTGTGTTTTAAATGAGAGCTGCATTTTACCATGTGAGCTCCAGGCTGGCTCAGATCCTCTCATCCACTGGATTCACATGATAGCAAGGGAAACTTTTGTCCATTCCTTCTACAACAATCAAACCCAGCTGGGACACCAGGTCCATTGGTTCAGAGGCAGAACGTCTCTGTTCACAGATCAGATCCCCAGAAGAAACGCCTCCCTGCTGCTCACAGCGGTGAAGATTCAAGACGAAGGACGATACATGTGCCGCACAAGTACCTCTGAAGGCAACAAAAAAGCATTTGTTGACCTAAAAGTAGAAGGTAAATTAGTGTGTTATGCTGCACGGTGGAACAGTGGTCAGTACTGTTGCCTCACAGTGAGAAGGTCCTGGGTTCAAATCCCAGTGGAGCCTTTCTGTGTGGAGTTTGCAGGATCTCCCTTTGCATGCATGGGTTTCTACTGGTTAAACCCACGAGTGCAAACCCAAGCATGCATGTTAGGTTAACCGGTGACTCTAAATTACCCTGAATGTGTGTATGACTCTTCTATGACGTCCTGTGGTGGACCAGGAAGCAGTTCATGGAGAAGCTGCTTCTCATCGGTTGACCACTGGACGGAGACACCAGGCCTCCCCTTGAACAGGAGCAGGAGGGTATAAATAAAACAGGATGACATTTTTTTCTTGCAGAACTTTTGTATTTATTCTTAAATATGACACATTTTTATTAGTTTCTTCCATGTTCTTGTGTTTCAGCTCCAGTCTCTGACATCAGGATCCATCAGGATGGAAACAGGATCACCTGCAGCTCAGAGGGGATCTACCCTCAACCTGAACTCACCTGGTCCACTGAGCCTCCATCCAACACGGCTCTGCAGAACAGAACCACAGTCCATCAGACTGAGGAGAAGCTTTATGACATCACCAGCTGTCTGACGGACCATGACCCTAATTTGACCTACTACTGCACAGTCAAAACTCAGACGAACCAGAAGACAGGTTTGGTTAAACCTGGTAAGAACAAGTTAAATAAAAAAATAGATTTTCCTCCATTTCAAGGCTGGATTCACTTTTCATGATGCATCAACTGCTGTGTCTCCACATGCACCATTGTGAAAAGCTTTTGGACAGTTTTTTCCTTCAGAAAACAAGAGATTTTGTTCATAAAAATTGTGATAAATGTTGGGAAATTGTGTGCAGTATTTTGAAAAAGGTGTGTTTTAGAATTTCAGTGTGAAGCAGGAAATGTGCTTGTAGTTTAGCAGAAGTGGTTCAGGGTTAAGTTGTTCTGTGTATGAAAGAGACAGGAAATCATGAGAGCTGTTAGTCCACCTGCTCCTTCTTTAGCAAACTGAGTGAAATATTCATATTTTAATATAAAATATGCACATTTCTCAGAGACAATGCTAAACCTGATTTATCTTGTTTGGACTTCTGCTTAGTAAAAATGCTAAAGTAAAATCTTTCCCTGTAATTCTTGAATACATAATAAATAGTAAAATGTTTCCTTCCCCTGTCTGCCATCATCCATCCAGATGCATCTAATGACGCTTCTTCTTCTTCTTCCTCTTCTTCTTCCTCTTCTTCTTCTTCTTCTTGCTTCACAGAAATGTCACATAATGTTGGAAAGTTCTCTGTAGTGGTGATTGGGGTTCCAGTTGCAGGTGTAATCATGGTGGTTGTGATAATCACTATAATTTTAACGAAAAAAGGTAAATGACTCTTGATTTTCTTTGATGTCGATTTCTTGATTTTGTTCTTTTTTATTAATAATTTCTGAACTCAAACTTTTCCCAGGCTGCACAGCAAACAACACAAAGACACCAAACAAGCCTGAAATTCATGGGTCAGTAATGTATACAGACTAAATTTATTTAAATAGTTTCTCCACTCTATGATTGTAACAATGTAAGAAGTATAAAATGATTACATCATTTCCAGTTTTATGTTTTATATTTTCTTCAAGACAAAATAAATCATTGTTCTAATTTGAAATTATTTTGATTCTGTTGCAGGAACTCGTTGAAACCTGTGGACTGCCTGGACGAATCGGACTCGGCTGTTAATGCAGAAAATGATCTAGATACTGTGACCTCCGTTACTCGTCTTTTATCCCCTGGTCTCTCCTAAAGTCTTACATACCAGACAATGTTTCCACGAGCACAACAACAACGTCCTCAAGACAGTTACTATCTTAAGATTTTAAGATGTTAAAGTACTTTTCCATTAAATTGATAATTATATTGAAATATCATAAAAGATGTAAAACATTTGGACGTCAGTTGAAATGATTTTTGAAAGTATCATAGCAGCAGAAATGACTCTGTACACAAGTATGTTTCAGAGTTTTTTGTTGTTTTTAAGGAAATAAAATGAACAAATTGGGGAGAGTCCCAGTTCACATAGTTAAAAAAATTAAATATCACAGATTGGCCAGTTTTTATTTCTATAGGGCATAGCATATAGTACCACGCCCCCCGTGGGGTTTGAGCTGCGGTCAAATCAAACCCCCACATGGTTCAGGATTCCTCTTAATTTGGCCCCTACATTCTGAGTAGGTATTAATGTGGAAGATCTCCATTTTATGTAGCTGCTAGCCTTCCTGGTTGGTTAAATCATAATTGATGAGTGCAATGTCATCAATTATATAGAGCAATATAACATTAATGCAGTCCGGACCCATTTAGGTGAATGTTTAAGGTTTGATGGGTCCAACAAAATGAAAAATGTTATATATTTATAAATCACATAGCAGAGATTTTGGACTTCAGAGCAATTCCATAGCGTATGGATAAACAGATAATGCATATCTTAGTAATAAATAATTAGTATATTATATAATAAATATGTATGCCTCATTTAGAATAGAAGTTATTGATCCCCAAAGGGAAATGATCTATAAATGAGAGCAGAGAAACTCAGATTTAAGTCACTCAGACTTGGGCATTGTAAATCCTAATGGCTACAGACAGAAATGATGTTTTTATTGATCTGTGGAGCAAATAAAATGTTTTATTGATTGATTGATTTTCTGTGGTGCACTTTGGCCAACGAGTCTCTGGCTGAAGATGCTCCTGTTTCCGGCAGCCATGATGTCATGAAGTGGATGTTTGTCGTCGTCCTTTAGTGTCTGAGACGTCCTCACTGTGACCTTTGACCAAAATAAACCTCATTCAAAGCCTCATTCTTGATTAACTGACTTCATGGATGAAGCTCTGAAATATTTTCACCTTAAACATCTTAAAGCAAATTTTTATGAAATAAAAAACGGTTTAATTAGTTGTTGCTGCTGCTGGGGCCCAGTGCTGTCCTAAAAAATCATTTATTACATATAAAAACAAATGAATGTATGTTGTGTGATCTAAGTATTGCAAACCTAAATTTGATCAATTTTGTTTAGATGTACATAAACTAAACAGCCTCCTTAATGACGTCTAGCTCAAAATTGCCTTCACTGCTGGTCTGCTGGTGTTTGGAGACTCTGATGGCTTATGGGTAATATTTGGTGTTTTAAAATATCCAATGAAAACCAGTAAAGACAAGATTGTAAATACATTGATCAACAATTTCAAATAACACACAAGGAGTCTAGATTATTTTAAGTTACAATAAGGATGTTTTTTCTGTCTTTGCTCTCGTTTAACACCATCCATATCTGACTCTTCCTCTCCTTTTATCCACATCAGCAGATTATCACAAACTCTCAGCTCTTCCTTCTCCACCTCGTTAACAATCAGGCTTTTTCATTTTGAACAGAATAAGGAGAAGTTTCTCTGTCTTGGATGAGAAAACATTGTTGGCACAACAGTCAGGATGTTTCTCAATAACAAATGTTGACCTGCACCAAACAGAAATGTTTTCAGTTTTGATGTAAAGGAAAATCTGCTCTGACTGGTTTCTGTTCAAACTTTCTTTTCACCATGAAGCTCCTCCTGCCTCATGTTTCTGCTGCACCTTTGGTAAACAGGAACTTAAAAAAAAACAATTAACCTGAACAATCGTAGAATAAAAAGATCTGATATTTTCTCACAGTCTTGTGGTTATGGCTGCCAGAGAAACTGAGTTTGTATAATTTATACTATTTCTCTTGTTTTCCAGGTTATTTAGTCAGTCGCTCTGATATAAAACACTTCAGTTCTTGGTTTTCCTCCTCACATAAGTCTCAAGTCTTTGTTTCAGTGGCTGAAAATCTCATATAAAACATGAAACAAGTGAAAAAACTTATTTTAATAATATAAATGTATATATTATCCCAGTTGGTCCTCACTAGTAGCTGAGTTCTGCAAACTAAAAACAAAGAAAAAAAAGATACACATAAACAAAAACTGATTTTTTTCCAGAGATTCCAGATAATTGAAATGCTTTAGTTTTATGTTGAACATTTATCTCAGCAAATATTTTCTTATTTGCTGAAGTTTATCTTCAGTCCTTGTTTCCTGCTGGGTTCTTCATGTCCATCCAGATCATCCTGTTGTTCCTCATCTGGGACCAGAACAGCTAAACCGCAGCGACCTGAAAACGTTCAGATTCAGCCGAGTTCCTACAAGCAGGAAGCCTGTAATCAGAACAAAACATTTTATTTATGTTTGCATATAACTAAGATTTTTGCAGAGCAATCTAAAGCAATTTTATGCTGATCTGGTTTCATCTGGAGTCCAATTAAATTCATTTTTGCTTTGTTCTTATAGTGTTTTATCCTAATTTATTTAATTTGATTTTTATTCTTCTGGATTGCACATTTTTAGAAACATGGTACTGTACTTTGGTTTTATGATTTTGGTGAATATACTTTGCAACCTGACTGTGGCTAATGAATCAAATAAAAATACTTTATTTATCCAAACATAACTTTATGCAGCTCCTTTCATCCACGTCTCTTCAAAACGTTGTTGAATGATGATGCTTCAGGCAGGAAGCAGCTCAGCGCCTCAGAACAGTTTGCTCTGGGATTTGACCCAAATCCCAAAACTGTTTTGTGTTGGGTTCTGCGGGGGAGTGTTTTCTCTACATTTTCAGGGTGGCAGGCTGACGGGATCCAGCTGGTGCTCGTCATCTCCAATCAACAATGGCCTTAAATAGGAGAGGCTTCCCAGAAGAAGATGCCAGATGGTTCCGCTTCTACAGTGGTACACTCTAGCTCTCAGTGCTGTCTCAAGTGTCTAACTTGTTCCTGACGCCTCTCCCATCTTTCTTCCTCCTAGAACCAGCCCTGACCTCTCTCTGAGAATCAGATCACCTGGACTACTTGGCCCTCGCTGTTTGGCTTGGCCAAGCCCCTGGATTCCTCCACCACCACCCTGCTGCTGCCTGTCCACCCTCAGTTACCTGCTGGAACTCCCCCACCTGGAGACCCCTCGCTGCCCCAACTGCTGTACCCTCCTCTGCTCACCTGAACCCCCAATCCGTAAGCCCTCATCAGGTTACATCATCATTCCTGTCATTATTCCTCTAACTGCTCACCCATTTCTCAGTTCCTCCTCTGGCCCGGTTCCTCCCTGCTGCCGCTGATCTTCACCTCTCCATTGTTTTCCCCATTACACCTTCCTGTTCAATAAATCTGTAAACTGAGTTTGGGTGTCCGTAGTTGTTGCTTGCCTTCGAGTCCTGGTACCTCTCATTATGACAGTTTTGTGGCGCTAATTATTTGCTCCCAGTTTCAAAAACAATACTTTGTTGTCATAGCAACTGTCCAAAAGTAGGTAAATGAGAACAACAATCCTGGTGGCAGAGCATCCAGAACCAGAAGGAACTATCGACCAAACAGATGAACATGAGGCACCAAATAAACCAGATCAGAGCTGCTGCAACAAGAGAGGCAGATTTAGAACTACAGTCGTTAAATAATTAATCTGCTCCGTCTGCTTGTTTGTGTGTTTTATTGTGTCTTATAAGCCCATGTGGGCGGGGCACATGTACAGGTGTGTATAAGATAAAGACTGCTACTAATGAAGGAAAAGCTTCATTTGTTTGCTTTATTAAACATGTGGTCCTGTATAATTTAGTAAAATAAATTAGATTTAAAATTTAAACAGGCTTAATTTGTTAGAGTTTAACAAAGTGAAATGAGAATTTCTTCAGGATTTACTTTCTGTTGATTTGCAGCTCTTTGAACTGAGAAAATAAAATAAATGTAACATGTAAAACATGTAACAAAATGTTTTACATTAACATTTATTTTTAATGCATTTCCGTTTCTTCCAAGATAAATATTAACTACATATTGTTTTTTAGTCACTTACTGTTGATGTGATGCTGTTTTGCACATGGCTTCTGTGATTCGTGAACAAAAACCTGGAAAATAGTTTGAATCAGATGATGGCACTGAAAAAAATATGTTGATAAATTATTTAAAAACCAAAGTCTGTGTCTTATCTTACCTAATATAACTACGAATATCAGTATCCACAGACCGAATCCTCCAGTTATTATTGCAGCTACTTTACTCGCCTCCATAACTTCCTCTGGGAAGAAAAAGGTCAGATGTGAACTCGTGTCTCTGGATGATCTTTGATTCTAGTATTATACACTCAGAGCAGTGCTGTTAATCTGCCTGTTACTGAAAAGAAATGCAGTAATAAAAATATCATCTGTGAACCAAGTCAAAGGAAAATCATGTGATGCTACATTACTTCATTTGATTCACACCAGATGTCGACAGATGCAGCTGAATGAAGCTAATATTTAGAAAATGTGAAATATACCAACAAAAAAGTTACTTACTTTTACAGAAAGAGGCTGTCTTCTTGTTTCTGCTGCTGCTGACGGTGCAGCTGTATGTCTGGTCATAAAGTCTGTCTGAGACCAGCAGAGAGCTGCTGATGCTGTAAAGCTGCTCTTCAGTCTGATGGACCATCGTTGGGCTGTTGATCTCCAGTTCAGATGGAGGATTAACAGACCAGCTGAGTTCAGGTTGAGGGTAGATCCACTCTGAGCTGCAGATGATCCTGTTTTCTACCAGCTTTATACTGACTTTTATTAGAGCTGCAAACCAACCAAGTAAACACATCAAGAAGAGTAAAGGTAAATCTCACTAACTAAAATCCACCACAATAGAAGCCAGTCTACCTTCAACCTTCAGTTGAATGAATGTTTTCCTGCTTCCTCTCTCTGTGCTGCTGTAGCAGCTGTATCTTCCTTCATCCTGGATCTTCACTCCTGTCAGCCTTAAGGAGCCGTTTCCTCTGGAGATCAGGTCCTGAAACAGAGACGTCCGACCTTTGAACTGCTGGTCCTGCCGTCCCAGCTGGTCCTCAGTATCATAGTAGGAGTGGACATTATGTTCTCCTGATGTTAAGTGATCCCAGTGGATGATTGTATCTGAACTGGGATCAACATTACAGGGTAAAATGCAGTTCTGTCTGAAAACACACGTCACTGTGGGATCTGCAGGACGAGATAAAATAAAACCAGATGTTTACATACAGAAAACAAAGAGATGTTTCCATGTTTTTCTTACTGTCTGGAATCAAATCAGAATAAACTTGTCTTCTTGTTTCATCTTGGAAAATGACCCACATTATTTCGATTGTTTCTCTGTTAGATCCACTAACTTCACCTCATAACGTGTTTGTTTGTCAGAGGTTCATCAGTTCAGCAACTTTTCTGTGGAACCATGTGAGTCAGAAAACATTTGGTGGGAAGCTGATCATCTCCTGAGCTCATCATAACTTCACAGGTCAAAACTCTTCTGAACGTTTTTAAAGGTTTAATGAGAAACGTGATGACCTGCTGAAGGCAGAGTATCGGAAAGAGCAGCAACAAAACAGAGGCCCGATTTCAATGTGTGCAAAGTAAAACTTCATTCATATTCAATACATACAGCATTTCTATAACTACTGAAGTTTCTTGACTGTGCTATAAAATGGTATTAAATACACTATATTCACTTTTATTCACAAACGTAGCTCATAAAATTTCAGCTTAGGAAAAAATATGTCTATTTCATCATAAAAAAAATCAGTTCTGTCAAGAGAAGTTTACTGAATGAATAATTACCCCAGACTTCGTAAACAGTGATTTTATTTTTCACGTTACAAAAACAAAGCCCTGTTTTGATGGCAGTTCAGGTTCTGTAATGATTGTTTCTGTTTCACTTTAAACACAAAGTTGTTGTGATCTGTGGCTCTCGAACACGAACAGCAGATAAAATGTTACACAAGAAATTCAGCATTTTGACTGAACAGATATTAAAAAATCTCTGAAGACATTTCTGCCCTTTAAACAACATGGTTTCAGTTTTTGAAGTATTGTGTTTTTAATAAACCTGATAAACTCAACATGGAAACTGGTTCAATAAAACATTAATCTTTAGCATTTCTGGGCATATTTGCTTCATTCTTAGGTAAAAACATAACACTCACATTATGATGGATCATTGATATTACAGCTAATTCATTTACTCACCTCCTCTTGAAAGGGGCCAAGTCAAAGTCTGGACCATTAAAAACATGAAGCAGAACATTTTCACCGTAATAAAACTGATTAAAATCCTGGCACCTAAAAAAACTGCTCTTAGTTTTACCTGTGAACAGGTTAAACCTAAAACTGTCCTGGTTTATTTACATCAACAGTTCAGTTCCTCCTCCTAGGAGTGGCAGACTGGCCCAAGTCAACCTGTCAGGTTTTACAGAGGATTAAACCAGTGGTGCAACTGCACATTATTCAGGTGGATGCGAAAACATAAATCGGCGCAACCCAAACTTTGCTCCAAACTTTCTGAGGACTGACCACCCAGCTCACCCGCTGCCTCACACACCGAGCCAGCAGCGTCACCTTCCCATTCATACTTCATGACAGTCACTCCCACATNTGGTTAATTTGTGAATGTGCACGAAGCTGAGGACAGAAAGTTTTCAAATAGTTCACTGGGTCAGAACCCAGAGTTTAAACGGTGTCAAAGTTTCTGAGCCGTTTCAGTTTTAATGGTGTTTCTGCAGGAAAGTTGGGCTGAACAGAACCGAGCAGAACTCCAATAAAGCCGCTGAATAGTTTCTGATGCATTATGACCAAAAGCTGATTCAAATTATTCTTTGAATCTGCAGCAATAAAAAGAAGAAAGATGCTGAACAGCTTGAGTACTTTAGGATTGGCGCCCTTAAATAGAGTTTCCTGTTTCACGCCCATATAAAGCAGGAGGGATGGAGAGAGGCTGAAACGGAGGAAAGTGGATGAAAACCAGAGACAGAAAAAGATTTGTAGCTGTAGTTTTCTCCAGCAGACCTTTGATGAACCACAGCTGGAGATGAACTGCAGCCTGAATTTTAACAGCAGTTATCAACAAGCACCATTAAGTTTCAGGGGTTTTGTTCCTATAACGAGTGCAGACGAGCTCTCAGATCTGCTGTCAGCCAACTGGAAGGCCAGAGAGCTGCAGAACGCACAAAGCATCCGCTGAAGAAAGAGAGAAAGAGAGGCCTGATGGGAAAACCTGAGCTGCAGGCGGCGCTCACAGTGATGCACGCAGAACTGCACACCTTCAAACCGTCAAAGATTTTAACGAGAACAGCTCAGCCAGACCTTCCAGCAGAAACATCGAAAGCTTAAAGTCGGACTTCATCCGACTGGATTAGCATTTTGAACATTCACAGTTTGAATTTGCGATATTATTGTAATATTTGCCTCATACTATGCAGCTCAGATTGTGACAATGACTCTGAACCTGAACTCTGATGTTTAAAGTTTCTGTCACAGTTTCACTGCGTCCGTATTTCTGTCGACTTTCAGACACTCGATGTGTTTCCATTACAGATGTTAGAAAACTTTCTACATATTCTGACAAAAAATGCACAGCTCCCAAGAAAAGGCGGGAATCACCATAGCAACGTGAGTCTCTGGTTCCCCATGACTCAGCAGTTTCTCTCTGATCGGCTCCGTCATGCTGGACGTTTAACCTGCCTGTCAGAAACAAGCTGATGTGTTTGAGTCTCACCTGGATCAGAACGAAATACGCCCGCAGGTCGTCTTTTGTCCGAGGCCTAAAGACAGAAACACAGAACAAGAACCGGCATGAGGATGAAACACAAAAACATCTTTCACTTGATCTCACTCTGTCTGGAAATATTAGTAACGATGAAGCTGAAGCGATAAACTGAAGCGGCTCTCACCCTTTCCACTCTCTCAGCAGGCTGTTGATGATTCCTTTCAAGACCAACTTCTGGATGTCCTGAGGCTGAACACACACACACACACACACACACACACACACACACACCGTTCAGAGTGTCGGCGCGTCAGACAGACACACTTCTGCTCTCTGTGTTAGTCCAGCTTTAAACCTCAACATTAAACTGAAGCCCAAACAGAAGCAAAGCTGAACTTGTTTCATAAAAGTTTTAAAAGTCCAGTTGGGTGAGCTGAAGGTTCGACCTCATGAACTCAGTTACAGATGATTATAAATATTTATTAACGCCTAAAACCCAATTTAAACGGCAACTAAAAACTAAATAAAAATAAAAATTAACATTAAAATTATTTATTAGCTTAAATTCCTTGTGCAGTGGAGCTGAGACAAAGCTCACGCTGCACAGCGCCCTCCAGTGGTCGCTTCTGTCACATGGAGTCCCTCAAGGTTCCATCCTGGGAGCCCTCCTATTTAATATCTACATGCTCCGTTAGCTCCATTAGTACAGCCTGGCCTCATCAGAACCGGGTTTGGGTCTTACTTACTGTGCTGAGCAGCGAGTCGTAAACCGCGCTGACGAACTTGCCGTTGACTCCTGAGTCCTCGATAGTGTTGAACAATCCGTTGGCCTCCCGCTGCGGGACGTTCAGACACGGTGAGGAAACGGAAGCAGAGCCAGGCGGCAGAGCGGAGATTTATCTGCTTTACCTTGAAGGCGGCGTTGATTTCTACGAAGGAGTCGAAGGTCGTCAGGTAAAACTCTCTGACTTCCCTCCAGTCACCTGATTGGGCGGCTCGCTCCACGTCCTCCCTGTTGGAAACGGCAGATGGAGTAAAGCAGTGAAGAGGATTCTGGGATGTTTCAGCGTCAGAGAGGAGACCCACTGGAACTCCTTGGTGGTTTTGGTCCGGAGGGGGATGACGGGGTCGCAGGGGAACGGAGCTTTGACTTCCTGAGGCAGCGTGTCGATGGAGAGCCGCTGCTTCTGCCGGACGTTGCTGCAGATGGGAGGCAGCTCCCTGACGGCTGCAGCGCAGAGGAGACATAAGGAGCCGCTTGAAACGTTTCACAGTAAAACATTACAGCATCGGGGTTTAATCAGCCTGGCAGGGGGAAATCTGGGCTTTCAAGGCCACATTTGTCACAATCTTATTCATATATTTAATGTTCCAACACTAAATATTTAACTCAGAAGCTGAATATTCAGTTTACAAAGTAAATATTTTGCTTGCAAATTAAATTAGGAAGCTAAACACTTAGTTCTGAAGTGAATATTTAATTCTGATGTACATACAGTATTTAATGTGGAAACTAAATAAATAGCTCAAAATTAAATATTGTTTGTTACATAAATATTTAGTTCCAACATATTTTTCCCCAAACTAAATATTTAATTTTCAAAATAAATATTTATCTTCCAAATTAAATATTTAGCTTCGACCTAAATATTTTGGTCGAAGCTAAATATGTACGAATATATGAACTAGCTAGCTAAATATTTAGCTACCTAAATACTTAGGAAGCTAAATACTTAATTTGGAAGATAAATATTTAGTTTGGAACTAAATTTGCAAATTATGGAAATTACCTTGTGGATCAGTGGAAGTAGACTATCAAAATAAGAGCTGGGTTTTCTGGACCTCTATATAAACTTAACTGAATCTCTTCAGTCATCAGTATAGTTTTTATTTCCATGCATCATCAGTTGTTTTGCTCCTGACATGTCCGGTGTCTGGATAAACACGTTTAAATGAGAAATGAGAAAAGATTGAATTTTTCATATCTAAAAGTGACGCCTGCTGATCCAACATGGAGGCCGGTCCTCCACCAGGTGGAAACACACATGTCCTCCCACACACCCACCCAGCCTTTCTCTTCATAATTGGCCCCTCATTGTCTCTGTCTCCACGGTAACTCCCTTCAGCACGAGGCCTGTCCAGGTGCATTGTGGGTGCAGGACAGATTATTCAAGCAGGAGGAAAAAGGAGCGGCGAGGCAGACTGAGGGCAGCAGAGCGCTCAGAGGAGGTCATCGGGTTTGAAACGGATTTCAGCCTGAATTTAAAACCAACTCTCGTTTTTATCCAGGTGGAATGAAGACTAAATAACTAAAATAAGTTCCAAACATTAAAACCATAAAAATCTAAATTAAACTGGTTCAAACTGCAGAAAATAGAGGATTTTCCAAACAACTGGAGTTCTGCCAACCAGGGGAAATCCCAGCAGGTTGCAAGTTCAACTCCAAGGTCAACGAGAAAACACCAAAGTGTCCCATCTCAGCCTCTACAGGCCTCAGTTAGCAGGGCAAAGGTGAAAGTTCATGAAAGGACAGTTTGCAGTCTGGAAAAAAACTCTTCACCTTAAAAATCCAGCAGCAGAACTTTGGTTTGCAAAGCTGCACCTGATGGAGGGACGATGTCCTCTGGACAGATGAGACCATGTGGACATGTGGACGCCAGACGTCAGCACATGAGCACAAAGACATCAGAGCAGCTGTAAAGCACGGCGGTGGAGGAGTGGTGATCTGGGCTTGATTTGCATGTCTCTGGGAGTCCATCTGTCCAACAGCTGCAGTTCGGTCCAACGATACTGTGGAAACTCATCTCTGCTGCCTGATACTGAGCTGTTAGCATGAAGGGCGGCCATGACAGACGGCAGCAACGGCCTCAGTCAGAGGATGAAGATGAAGGTCCTTCCAGCCCGCAGCATCACTAAACACAGAGACAAAGATCCTCGTTGCCGTTGACCTCTCCGTTGCCGTTCTCCTCCATGTTGCCGTTCTCCTCCATGTTGCCGTTCTCCTCCATGTTGCCGTTCTCCCTCGTGGTTCTGGTCGTGGCGTGCCTCCAGTGCGTGGATGTCTTGTTTCCAGGACGACGGCCTCTTCCTGTTCCAGAAGTCTCTCTGAGCCTCGTGAACTCTGCACACGGATGATGTCAGCTGAGGGTCGGTTTGGCCTTCGCTGGGTGGAGACTTTGACTGGACCGCCACATCATCCAGGTCACTGGTCATGGCAACAACTCCTGGTTGCCATGGCAGCTTTTCATTGCCTTCAGGAGGACCAGCATTATGTCAGCTAAAGGCTTTGATCGTACTTTGGGTTCAGACTCAGATGAAGTCCCAGGCTCTGGTAAGTTGTCTTTGTTAGGAAAGTACCAGAAGCATCAGTTCTACCATCAGAACTGATATGTTGGTGATTTTCCTCCTCTGAGGGTTTTTTGTGCAGCGCTGATGGAAAAGCGTCCTGATGGGAGGGATAATGGCGTTTTATCCTTCCAGGCCTCTGGCTCTGAAAGCGAGGCGTCAGTGATTTCTGATTCTGACTCGAAGCTTCAGATGAACCTCTGATTAGCTCGGCCTCAGAACTCAAAACCATACTTGAGGAAAATGAAAAAGGAAACAGAAACCTCCTGAATCTGTGATTATCCAGCAGACTTGACGACTGTAACCGGGCAGAGGAATGCTGCAGCATCCTGTGTACGCCTGAGTGTGTGTGTGTCCACTGTTTTCCTTTCATATGGTTTTCATTTGGGGTGGAGGTTCGCATAATTATTCTGGCATCAGTCGGCGTGGTGACAAAGCTGGCTGATGAGCGCTCCGCTGGGTCTCCGTTCTCATGGCAGTCAGAAATAACCTCGCCTTTTACGAGAACCAACATCCTCCTCCACGTAAAAACACTCGCAGTGACTCAGAACCGACAAGACGCTCGCTACTTCACCAGAACCTCGGCTGCGCATGTCAGCCCAGAAACCAGAGGTTTGCATCGCATCAGCAGAAATCCGAGTTACGGGTCGGATCCTGGGTTTGGATCCGCGGCCACACAGCGCTCCTCCTGCCATGCAGGCTGCATTCTGACTGAATACATGAGGCGTACTGTAAACAGAGGAAGTAACACATCATTACAGCTCAGACGGGACCCACATCAGATCGACTCAGAGAACAGAACCGGGTCAGGCTGTAGGTGAGGAACATCTGCTGTAAACTTTCACAGCAGGTCAAAGTGTTGCTTGTTTCACTGCTGGAGAGGAGAGACAGTTTCTTTACAATCAGCTTCAGCACTTCAAACATGAATAAATGATGTTAAATCAGGTTACAGTCAGTTAAACATCTGTCTAAACACAGCAGAGAGCAGAAGGTTTCTGTTTCCACACGTCACAGTCCAGTAGACCCGGTTCGATAGAGGACCAACGCTGAAACATCTGTTCCACCTCCAGCTGCTGTGGTTCTCTTCCTCTGAGTCAAACCAACCTGTTCCCCTCCTGGCCTGTGGGGGCGCTGCACCAAGATCCACTGAAGGAAACGACACAAAAACCTCTGAAGGATTTCAGCGGCTGGAGGATTTCTCTTTAGTCTTTGGCTAAAAACCACGAGTCATTTCTCCTGCTAGCACTAAATTAGCATATTCGTTTTGGTTCTATTTACCCAGAATGCCCTGTGCTGTTGTCCACTTTCTGGTTTGGGAGCGGTCTACTGTCTGCTTGGCTTTCAGTTCAGCTGAACCCAAACCGAGGTCCAAATCATCTCATCCTGCCTCTCTAACTTTGATCTGATCTGATCTAACCTCTCTGGATCCCTTTCCTTTTGACTGCTGATCGACTTCACAGGTAAATGCTGCCATTTTATCAGACAGTCTAGATTCTTCCTTCAGTCTCCTAGCAACCAACACAGCCAAGCCTAGGCGCAATTTGGAGGTGTGTGCCGTTGGTACCGGCAGCATGGCCTGCTTTAGCAGCAGTTCTCAGGATCGTGTCTCAGCTGATGTAACTCACTGTGCCTGATCCCCAGCGGGCCGGTCAGCGGGCCCCCGATGCCGATGGCGAAGCCCCGCCCTCCTGCGTCTCTCCTCTGGCTGAGCGTGGAGATGAAGGTTCCCAGAGATGGAAACGGCTGCTTGGGTCCTCGTCCCAAAACCTGCCATGAAGAAAACGGCTGTTTAATATTCTGTAACAACAGAACGATGTCTGGAGTAAAATAAAAACAAGTCAGGTATGTCTGAAGATTTTCACTGGTGAGCACACTTCTGCTAATGCGCTAACAGCGGAGCTACTTTTGCATTTAGCACCTTATCCTAACTTTGAAATTGTTTAGCGCTGGAGACCCCCACCCCCTGACCCCACTGGGGACAAGGTGTTGGAAGGTGGTGGATGTTTGTGATTGGTGCTTTAGGGTTAGCGCAGCTAACCTTTCAGCTAGCTGCCCACCACTGGTTTCCTTGATATGAAAATGAGATCAAGGAAAATCATTTAATAACTTTTTGCACCTTTGATGTGAATTCTACTCTCCTGACAAATAAATGTTTTTAAACATAGACATTTTAAAAGCTCAGTAAATTGTTCACATCTTTATCCTGAAACATTTCATGTTTTCTGCTGAAGTTGTTCGGTTGTGGATTTTAATGTTGTGACTTTCCAGCTTCTCATAATTACATCCACTTTGCTCATGACTCCACAGCATGATGCTGCCACCACCATGTTTTACAGCTGGCCAGGCGTTCAGGACACTGCAGCACATCTTCCCAGAGGTTTGTTGTAGCTCTGCTCCTTATTCCACACATGGAAAATCCAGGAGATGAATTTGTCGTGTGGATTATGAGCAGAGCTGGTTGGAATCTCCTACGGCTCCTTCGGCGTTGCTTTACGACCCATCATCAGCTTTAATAACTCTAACACTGGAGCTGATGTCCAGCAGTCATCACAGGACACACACACACAGCTGAGAGAGCGAACAGTTTCTGGACTGATGGAGGAAGCTGGAGTACCCAGAGAGAGAGAACCCCAGTGTGAAACATCCCCCCGGCTGGGATTCAAACCCAGGACCTTGTTGCTCGGAGGCAGCGGTGCTTCCATCTGCAGCTGCTGTACGTCTCATAAATGAGACGCTGGTTTATAACCAGCTTATTCTGGAAAGAATACGTAACTGCAGATTTATTTTATGGGCTCTCCTGACAAACGTTCCAGCTAATGACTGAGTAGCCGTCGTCTTGCAGCTCTTTAGTCGACCAATAAAGTCGGCTAAGTGACTCTCTGCATTCTCACATGTTGAGGTTTCTCAGCAGAACTTCCTAAGCTGGTCCAGACTCTGGGCTGCATGATCAGACAATGAGAACATAACCAAAACTAAACACATGAGCCCAGCGTTTACCGACTGTTCTCCGTGATTAATCACACGCTGCGCCGGCCTCGCTATCAGACGCTTCACAGCAGCAGAGCCACGAGTGCAGCGAGGCGAGAGCGAGATGGAAATTACAGGATAAAAAAGAAGGAACCAAGGAAGAAAAGTGGGATGGACAGAAGACGGGGAGGATAAAGGACAGGAACAGTGAAAATAAGAGGACAGGAAGAGAGGGATATGAGAGAGAGAGTAATTCAGGAAGCGGGGGAATAAATGGAAATTAAAGAAAATAGGATGAGGATGAAGAGGTTCAGACCTGAACAGATGCAGAGCAGCCGCTGCTTAGAGCTGCAGCTCCACATGTGTACAAAGACAGAAACCTGTGGTGTGTTCAGGGACTGCAGGAAAAGACAGATTCTAAATCAATACAGTTTGTGACCAACAGTAAAATAATCAGCCAAACATCATCATGACGTACAGTTACTGAAGTAAAAACTTCAGATCAAATCCTCTTATCATCATCTAAACATTAAAGATGCATCAGTCAGGATTCAACACAGATTTCTGTTTCTCTTTAAACCTGCTGAGTCAGGTTTTTTCTAAAAACTTTAAAAATCCTGCAGGATGTTTAACAGAGGAAGGAAATTTAAATATGAACATTTATTGTGTTAAAGTAATTTATTCTAAACATTTATAAGATTTTAATTTAAACTAAATATAAAAGCATCAACATGTAGATTATTGGTGTTTAAAGATGAAGAATTCCCACTGAGAAAAGTTGATCAGGAAAATTGATTGGTGCATCTCTGATAAACAAGTTTAATGATGTTTATACGTTTAAAAGACATAATGAGATGTAAGTGTGGATATCTTTGTCTTTTTAATGTTTTGTAAACTTTAGAAGTTTCCATTAAAGGCCATAAAACCAGATTTATTCAGTCGTGTTGCTGAATTTCCCGTCCAGGTTTTAAACTCCGTCAGACGGTGAGAAGTTGAAGCTGCTGGATGAATGATGTGGTCAGAGCTGCTTGTTATCTGAGAGCAGCTCCTCACAGCCTCACAGCTCCGCCCTCAGCTGCTGAGGAAACCCAAAGCATCCAGAGAAACGTCCCAGAATGCACCTCTGCCTGGAGCTGGTACTGAATCATCACATCTGAGGAGAGACTGACGACGTTCTGCTGCAGGTGGATTCATCTGCTGGTGGCCAATGCAGCGTGAGGACATGATGTGTCCATCATGTCCACCACGCCGCGCCGTGCTGCCGCCGCCTCCACCAGGCGACTGGCGGCCATGTTTTGTTCTGGCGGTTCTGGCAGCAGAGCAGCAGGTGTGGGCCGGCTGGGAAACGGTCTGGCTCTGCGGACTGGACTGTACTGGTCCGGTTCCAGCAGGCAGACTGGGTCAGAAATCTTAGTGGGTTTCTGGTGATTTACTCACCACACGTCTGGAACGGGTCTGGTACCGGTTCTGACAGAATCAGGCCAGCGCTGGTCCGTCTCAGAGGAGTCACAGACACAGCACAGACTGGCTGTAATGAAGCTGTTGATGGAACCGAACCGGACCGGACCGGACCGGTGGTGCAGCTGGTCGCCTGGGTGACGGTTTGTCTTCAGGACTTACTGGGACAAACTGATCAGTTTATCAAAGTGATCAATCAGTTTGACTCAGAAACCTGATTGGTTCATGATTTATTCCTGATATAATAAAAACATTTCATCCATCAGCCAAATTTACTAAACTCCTTCACTCATGTTTGTTTTTAATCTACATAAAAACTTCTATTAAACCAACCAGAACTATTATTAAAGCTTCAACGTTAATATTCTCAAATATTATTTGATCAACCACATCAGTTTTTGTTTATATTATTTAATGTTCCTATCAAATTCAGAGGAAGCTTTACTATTTTAACAGTTTATTCATCATTTATTCTGCCATTTCAGGATATTTATGATTTTGATGTGGAAGGAAATGAAAATCAGTTTGACGTCCCTGATGTATGTCATCAAGATTTAAAAAGTTACAGTTTCTAAACGGCTAAAGTTATAAGTTCTGTTTTCTCTGAAGGTTCCTGCGAAGCAGCAGCCTGCAGGCTGGCCACCGCAGCAGACAGCCTTACTAACGAACAGGATCAGTTCGCAGAGAGAAGCTCAGCCTCAGAATGCTCATAAAAATGATGAGTCTGTAAAGCAGCAGACAGTCACCTTCTGACACGACGCTCAACCAAAAGTTTATTATGAACTGATAAAGGCAGAAAGGTTATTTTATATTTTCTCTTAAAAAATAACTCCATCCTGTAAGACGGCCCTCTGAGCTGAGACCGACTAGGATTTGACTTTATTTGTAGAAATAAAAACCGTCCTGAATGTGAGGAGTGTGACGACGAGCAGCTGCTGAGACGAGTCCGGCTAAAACTCAGAAGAGAAAAACTGAAAAACTTTCTGTTGTTTCTGAAACAGAGTCAAAGTTTTCCAGACTTTCAGCTCGACTCGTCCATTTAACGTAGTTTAGTTTTAACGCTAAAAACACTGAAATCGTCAAACACAATGAAGGTTTTAGATTGAAGTGGTTCTGATGTGGTTCTGATCGGACCCGATCTGAACCCAGCAGGAAGGATCATCATTAAATCTGCAGAAGATCAGTGATGATGAGGATCGTCTCCTGGATTTCTGGTTTTTAACCTCCAGCAGGTCAAACGTTCTGGTTCTGGTCGGGAATCAGCCTCTGCTTCAGCAGTGATGTAACATGGATGAAGTGGATTTTCATCTGGATTAACAGGTGATGAACCTAATTTATGGTTCAATCCAACCTTTGACCCCTGATGGTTAAACGGTCATGAGATCTGAATCAGAACCATCAGAGAAAAATCCTGGATCCAGACAGAACAGAGTCCGAACTCAGCCTGAGATCCAGACCAGTCAGATTATTAGGCTGGTCAGAACTAGTTCATGTTCATAGTTCACCACCCAATTTGAACAGGTTGTCAGATCCATCAGATTAAGGTTTCTACTGGATCCAGACTCCTGGTTTGGACCGGTTACTTTTTCACCAACAACTAAAACATCCATGAAGCAATAATCCAACAGGAACCGAACGCCACGAACGGCCCAGAAGAATCCATCCATCATCCATCCATCATCCATCCATCCATCATCCACCCATCCATCCATCATCCATCCATCCATCCATCCATCCATCATCCATCCATCCATCCATCCATCCATTCATCCATCCTTCCATCCATCTTTTGGTGACTCAGCTGTTTTTCCTGCCTCAGATCTCCTGCAGCCTGATCAGAACCAGAGAACAGATTCAAACAGATCCATTTGGATCCACATGTTTTTCGGTCCTTCCAGACCGGATCAGAACCAGGCTGAGCAGTGACCAGCTGTTCTCGGGTCAGAACCGTCTGAAGGTGGAGATGCCTTCAGCTCTGAGCTCTGGACTGAGGCGTATGACCAGAGAGCTACCTGATGACGTCACGGGCGTTACGTAAAACAGAGACTGAGCTGACTCAGCAGCAGATCAAACCCGAGTGATGCTCCAGGATCAAATGGAGGAAAATTTAAACCCAAAAACAAGATGAAAACTGTGACCCGCTTTGTCATGTTGCATAACATGTTTCGCCTCTAATGTTTCATTCTGCAGGGAAGTGATGCTTTTAAATGAAACCAGAGGGAATGACTGAAGAGCAATTAGAGAAAATGCCCTGACAAAACAAACAACTTTTGCAAACTTTCAAAAACTCTCAAGTTAACGATTCTTCTCATCCTCACCCACATCAGGATCTACCAACTGAAACATCTGGCCAGAAAAACCAGAAACATTTCTGACATCTGAGCTCAGACGGAGAGAAAAGGAGGGTTAGCTTACAGGAGGAGAGCTGGTGTAGATGGGTGGAAGCCTCTCTCTTTCCCTCTCAACTCCTGACAGAGCAGAATGTTCTCCATCCATCCTGAAGAGTGGAAAACTTGTTTTTCCTCCGTGGAAAGTCTCAGTCCTCAGCTGCGCCTGCGGTGCTGCTCCTTACAGGGCTGCGCATGTTTTCCCCGCAGATGTCCGTCTCTGCGCTCCGCAACCAGGGGAAATCAGGGAGATTCACATCCTACAACAAGCGGAGTGAAATCTACCTTCGTCGGACAGGTGAGATCCCCGTTACGCACACAGCCTGACGCGCAAACGTTTCCAAACAAGCAGGCTGTGCGTAAAAGTCTGGCGTGGATCTCTCCAAACAGCCGGAGCGCCGCCGGAGAAAGTTAAAAACAGGTTCTAAAAACGTTAAAGGGAAGTTTCTACCCGCTGCTTCTGCGCTTCTTTCTCTGCTTTTCTGCGTCGTCGGTCGGGGAGGCAGCCCAGCAGCGAGCCGGCGCCATGTTTGGAGGGAGGAGGAGGAGGATGAAGAGGAGGAGGCGCCTGGAGACCCAGCGTCACCAGCAGAGAGAGGGGAGAACAGGATTCAAAATAAAAGAGCAAAACTGCTGCAAGGAAGAGAAAAGCTCATAAAATCTGAAGGGGAATCCAAAAATAACAGAGGGAAATGAAAATTTAGCAAAACAGAAAAAATACACTAAGAAACAACCAGTATGAATAAAAGTGATGTAATTTATCTGAATACATTTCAATCATTTATTTTAACTTAGTAAATAAAATAAAGTTCATATTGGAACAGAGTTTTTAAATGTACCAGAACCAGCGACAGTTTTTGATATATGCCATATGGGCAGTTGCCCAGGGTGGCAGAAAGCCACATGGCGCCCAAGAACTAGAAAATTACAAAATCTGTTGTGCCCTGAACACGTTTGGTACAACTTAAAACCTGCTGCTGAGTCAACTGGAAAGAGATCAAATGTTTTGCATTTTAACTGGCTAGGAGAGAAACTTAAAAGGGGCCTGCTAAAGCTTTAGCATATAAGCTAAAATTAACTGAACTGTTCAGTAGCATGTGGGCTATCACTGTCATGTTAGCTAACATTGACTGCCTCCATTCAGAATGATAAACTTAGCTATTATATTAAAAAATAGCTAAATTCTTATTTTTACAATAAGGCTAATGTTAGCATGACAGCTATCACCAGCATGTTTACTGCTCCATTTAGCTTTTATTAGCTAAATACTAATGTTAGCTTAAATGCTATCATCAATCTCTGTGCTTTCATTAGCATGTTGACCTATTAGCATGTTGATATTCCCATTAGAGTGTGTTTATCTCCAGTCTGGGTTTTCTTTGGTTTATTTAGCAGCATTTTTAGCTGCATTTTATTCTGACAGTTTTCAGAGGAAGTGGAGACTTTAGCTTCCTCCAGCTCTGGTTCTGTAGTCTCTGTGTCACTGTTACAATTTAACTCCTGGACACGTAATTAGTGAGAAGCAGAATCCGGGCTTTAGGCCAATTCTCTCGGAACATAAAGAAACTGAAGGGCTGCTGTTGTTGAAGCCCCCAGTGTGTGTGTGTGTGTGTGTGTGTAGGTGTGTGTGTGTGTGTGTGTGTGTGTGTGTGTGTGTTTCCCTGTAATGTTCAGATCGTCATCCGTCTGGTTTCCCTAAAGCAGCTCCAGTGTTTCTGCAGAAAGCTGCTATAAAATCTGATTTAATGACGTTTGTTTCCAAACCAGCATCAGGTTAACCAAACCTGCTCCGATCCAATAAAACCAGGATGGACTTGGACCTGAGTTTGGATCAGTTCCTCCAGTCACAAATCAAAGCAGCTCTAACAGAATCTGAAGCAGACAGGCCTTCCTCTTCCTCCTCTTCCTCAGTCTGGAAGCTGATTTCTGCAGTCTGGAGGAAAATGGCCACAGCGTCTTCATCCATAATCCAGGTTCTGAGGTTGATGGTCCATCCAGATGGTTCTGAGCTCAGAGAACTGGACACCACCTCTGGATCTGGTCAGCATCGTGTCTTCTCTGCACAACGTTTGCATCAGAGTTAACTGTGCAGTGAAAAAAATTTCTCTTTTGTTGAAATTTTAAAATCTGGGTCTTGGATGAATGATATAAAAGCTTAAAAATGTCAGATGAAATTTGCATATCACAAAGAACTAGAATTGGTTATGAACTACAAACAAGTTTTGTTTAATGGATCCTACAGAATTTAAGTAGCTTCACTTGTGTTGTGAACTATTATGAGGCTGATTTTGATGGATTCTCCTCATTGAAAGCTGTTCCACACTGAAGAGGTCAAAGGTTAAATTCTGAATTTTCTGCTTCCTCTCTGATCCTGAAACGTTGTGAGCAGAAGGACCAGATTCTGGACAGAATCAGAACCGAGCTTCAAACTCATTAACATAATTTCTGAAATTTTTATTTTTTCTGTTTGAGATGTTCAGTTCTGGCTGCTTGGCCCGGTCCGGTTCGGTTCGGTCCGGTCCGGTCCGGTCGCCCTGAGCCTGAGCTGCGTTTGTTTTCGGAGCTGAGGCCCGGTTCAGCAGCAGACACGTGGTGTTGGTCCAAACCCAGATGTGCTTTTTGCATCAGTCCAGAAATTTTTATGGCTTCTGGGGCTCAAACTCAAAACACTCTCTCTCTCCCTCCCTCTCTTTCCCTTTCTCTCTCCCTCTCTCTCCCCCCTCTCTCTCTCTCTCTCTCTCT